TGGCACAGTCTCAGAAGCAGACAGGCAAACAGTGGGAGCCTATCTGCCTCATGGCAGGGCCTGTGGAGCATGAAATTGACAAGAGGAGCAGGAGGCTCCCGACTCTGGCCTTGCCGACTTGATCCTGTTCCTAGCCCATCTGGAGCCTGCCGCCAGACTCATTTCCATTTTTCATTTATCCACCCCCAGCTGTGACCGCCTACCATGGCGCTGGCTCTCCACTCCACCACACCCTGGATGTCTAACGTGCACCTCAACTCGAAGGGCTTTCTGCCTGGTAAGGGGCACAAGCCAGAGACACCCCTCCACACACACACCCTGGGCTATGAGACCTTGGGCTCCCCTACACATGGCTTTCCAGGCCCTGAGGCCAGGCCCTGCCCACCCCTCCCACCTGCTGGGGCCCTGCCCTTCATTAGCCTCAAGCCAACCTCTTCACTCAGCACTGACAGACTCCGGCCTGCCTTTCCTCTCCCTGTGGTCTTCCCAAGTTCCACGCCTCTCCCAAACCTCGAGGACCAAGGGCATACACCAGAGGTTCAAGGTTGGCTCTGCCACTTGGGCAGTGTCTCCACCCTCTGGGCCTCAGTTGTCCCACCTGCGACTCAACCAGCACTGCGCAGGGCCTGGCAGGCGGCAAACCCCTGGTAAATCCCGGATAAACGTTGTTCTGCCCCCTGTGCTCCCGCAGCACTTAAGAGCCTCTACCACAGCACTTAACATTTGGCTGGTCTATTGCTTTTACTGCTTTATGTGCTTTGTTTTCCCAGCTGGACCATAAAGTTCCTTAAGACACTGACATTATTTGCTTTTCTGATTTCACATCCATTCATAGTAGGAAATGGAGAAAATCTATTACACTACAAAAAAAGAAAAACAAAGCCACCTGGAGTCTTCCTGAGATAACCACAGCATCCTGGCCTTACACCCCCTTGCATCTCCTGTGCATAGGTGTTTTCTTTTTCAAAAATCAAGATCATATTGAATGAATTTTTGTGTTTTGATTTCTTTACTCAATACTATAAGGTGAACATTTCCCCATAGCAGACGTTCTTTAAGAACATGTTTACTAACATCTGCATAACACCACAGCATCAGGACCACTGTCATGTATCCAATCAACACTTCTGTGAAGTGAGGGCAGGCTGTCTTGTGATAGCGAGACTGACGCCAGCATGCTTGGAGCGACGCATTTGCCAACCACCAATTACCTTCCATTCCTGCTGATTAAATGCATTTCCTCCCTTCTCCTAAGAAAGCCCATTTCCTGTGGGCATGATTTGCAGTGAAAATGGAATAATTGGCTGTGATGCATGAGCCAGGATGGTAGGCTTGTTGGCAGACGTGTGAGCCACATCTCTTGCCCCTGTCGCCCTGGGTCTGGTATCAGTCCCATTAGCCTAGGGAGCACCTGGCAGTCCCCACTGCCCTGGCCCCAACCCATCCAAATCAAAGGCCCTTTCTGCCTGCAGGTGAGAAAGTGTAGAGGAAGCTCAAAGTGCAGTGCTTGCTGCTAAGCTCAACCACCACATCTCAGGAGGTAGAGCCAGGAGTAAAAGGGTGTCGATCCTAGACAAGATAGGACCCAGGAGGCCATGACAGAGGTCTTCAGTTTTTTTTTTTTTCCCATCTTTTTCGTGTCCGGCAACGGATCGCAACCCTCAGTGTCGCCCCCGTACCGGACCAGGACCGGCAACGGGATCGCAACCCTCGGTGTTGCCCCCGTGCCTCGCTCAGCCAGTGAGCGGGAACCGGTCTGTATGTGGGATCCGAACCCTCGGCGGGAGTGCAGCCGCGCTTCCCAAGCGGCGCACTAGCGCAGTGCACCGCCGGGCCGGCCCAGAGGTCTTCAGTTTTCTTTTCTTTTTTTTTTTTTTTGTGACTGGTAAGGGGATCGTAACCCTTGGCTTGGTGTCGCCTGCACCGCACTCAGCCAGTGACCGCACCAGCCATCCCTATATAGGATCTGAACCTGCGGCCTCAGCGCTCCCAGTGCCACACTCTCCCGGGTGAGCCACAGGGTCGGTCCACAGAGGTCTTCAGTTTTCTGAAGGGCTTAAGTGTGTGTTCTGTGTGGCCCCAAAAGGTAAACTTGGGACACAGGGACAGAAGCCACAAGGAAACAGATTTTGGCGCAACATAAAGATCACTCTAAACCAGCCACAGCAATACAAGGAATGAATGGGCTTCTACTTTGTAAAGTAGCAAATCCCGTCACTGGAAGTACATCATGGCACAGATTATCTGGAAGGGACTCAGGCACAGAGAGGATGATTAGACCACATGATGTTAAAGTCCCTTCCACCTTGGGAGGGAGCTGCATGACACCAACAAATGCCCTGTACTCCTCCTACAGCAAATCGCAGGACCTTGTCATAGGGAAATTCAACAGCAGCATCTTGTCTGTGAAACACCCTCAGTTTCCAGATATTCCTAATATATCTGGAGCCTGGTTTCCTGGAAGCTACTTGTACATCTTGTAGCAGAGTCTCCAGGGTGTTTCAGAACCAAGGGAAACATTTGTAGCCTACTGAAAACCAAACCCCATGTGATTATACCATAGCTAACATGGTGTAAATTATATCATACACAACGAGGGAATGTTTCAATAACAAAATGCTCCCCTTCCTTGTTTTCTTCTTTTTTTCTGGTTGCTAAAACCTAATTAGCCTTACAGCCTACCTGGCAGTGTCCATGCAACTGCCCAGAATGCTGTGCATGGCTACTCAGGCCATTCTCAGCATCTGCAATAACACACTTAACCTAGGGATGCTCAGCACTCCTTCCTGTACAGACACCGCCTGCCAGCCAGCCACCAGAACCGAGGGAGCCCGGGAAGGGTGCTGGAAGGACTGAGCCACTGGCCTCCCTCGATGAGGGGCCTTCCACCAGCATAGGAACAGACGCATCCTAACAGAGGCCACATGCCTTGCATGGATATCTGGTCCTGGACCACATTTCTCCAAATGCTCGCCCAGCTGTTCTCTGGTCTGGAAGCCCAGGCAGGGGCAGAGAAGCAGGTCTAAGGACTGTAGGGGCTATTCATGGGTGGGAACCTCACTCCTTCCAAAATTAGCAGAAGGAGGGGTAAGAAATCAAGAGCTCCATCTCTAAAATATTGAGGTACAGGGAAGGGACATCCCATGGTTGAGACCACCCTCACTTGCCTATCTGATGGCCAGTCTGATGAAGGGTGCACTCAGAGATGGGAGGTCCCTAAACACTCATGGCCAGGGCCAACTGTCCCCGCACATTGGCTGAGCCACCTTTGTCATCCTTCCCCATGGAAAGTGGTGAGTCAGGGGTTCGGTCACAAGAACCATAAATATACTTGGTTTAACTTTTAAAAAAAATAGAAAAATAAATTACTATTCTAAAACTTAAGATTTTTAAAAGCTGCAAAACAAATGCCCCAAAGCTGGCTTTGGGAGGGTGTTTGTTACAGACTTCATGGTCTGCTCTGGAGATGGAGATAGCCCTAGATTAAGTGAGCTGTCCTAGCCAGGGCCCTCCTGCAACCTTAGGCTGGCTCCCTGGGCACGCTGCTATTCGAGAGGTACCCACCCAAACCCATTGGTAAGAAACCCACAGAGGACCCACTGGAGACTAGAGTGCAGTGGTGGGAGCTCTGTGCTGACCCTGACCACTGCCCCACCCAGAAGACAGAGCAAGGCCGGCATAGGTTGGAGAGATCTGCTTCAGAGGGAAGGCACCTCAGCACTGACTTAGGACTGCCTTCCCAGAGACCGGGAGGGCAGCAAACAGTGTTCCAGGAAGGAAGGAGGGGCAGGACAGGGCTTGCTAGATTCACCTCACACCAAGCTTCCAAGATAACTCGTGAGAAGGTGACTTCAAGCCTGTAAGTGGTTACATTCCCCTCCCTGTGCCCACACAGAACAAAGAGGCCGTGTTTCACAGTGGTTAGAACATGACCAAGTGACCCCCAGGCCTGGAGCTCCTGGATGCATGCTTCCACTCTGCCCATTACTGGCAGCATGACTCCAAGTCACTTAACCACTCGGGACCTCATTTCCTTCATCTGGAAAATGGAGATGCTAATATCAGTGTACACCTTGGGGCTGCTGGTGTACCATTAAGAGCAGCGCCCAGCACACAGTGAGCACTCACAAGAAGCATCAACTACTGTTGTCATTAATGTGACATCAATGCCTGCTCCTGGGGAGCCAGTGCTGCCTCTGAGGTGAGCCCAAGCCCTGAGCTTAGCCCACCACCCAGGCTGCCCTGCCACAGCTGAACCTGTGAGCACACCTCAGGAGGACTTTCAGGAGAGGGACAGTGTTGGCTGCTGCTCTCGGCTCTTTTTGGAAAGAGGGAACACTGGATCCTAAGCCCAGGGTCCTAGCCAGGTCTCTACTCCACAGGGAGCCAGAGGAAAGATACCTTGGTTTCTCTTTTCTTTTCGACCCCTTGTGTTTTGTAAGAGTACAGAATTACACCTCAGAAAAGCAACTAATCTTCCACACCAACTCAGCCTCTCCTCTGGGCCATCCCTGAGGCCATGAGTCCATGAGGCTATGCGGCCCTGGTCTCCACCCCAGGTGCTGGGCCTCAGCTGAGCAGGGAAGAGGCCTTCCTGCTAGAGACAAGGCTCCTTGCTTCAGTGACAACTCACATGATAGCAAAGTTTTGGGAAATAAAGGAAAACTCCTGGCATCCAGCTGAGGTTTTATAAGGAGTCACCACAAGCAGCTGGCTGTCCTGTTCACCACAACCCTGGGGTCTGGCTCAGAACAAGCTGTCCTTGATGCCTTACCCACAGCACATGGCCTGAGGTCTGAGAGGAAGACCAGCGAGAGGCAGAGGTGGAGAAGAGAAGGCACATGACACCCAGCTAACTTCGGTGTCTAAGTCACCTCAGTGAGCTCTTCCCAGGGAGACATGTCTATGTTCTGTTGCAAACTCCAGTGGGCCAGGGGAGACCAGGGAGGCAGACTTCCACTGAGCAGCCCCAGCCGCTGAGGAGGCCTGCAGGCACTTACCAGGAAGTGGACATCATCAAAGCCATTCAGAAGCAACTTGCTCTCATACTGCTGTAGCCCAATTGACTCCAGCCACTCCCCGACGCTCTGCTCCAGCGTCCGCGAACCTGACGAGAGAGGAATCGGCAGACGCTTGAAAAGGGAAAAACCATTAAGGCGGTAGCAGCGGCACTCAGAGGAAGACAGATGGCATTGCCACATCATAGTCATTACCATAAAGCAGCCAAACTATGTACAAGAGACCAGAGAGCAGCGCACACACAGCTGCTCCTCCGTGCGCAGGCCAGTGACAGGACTGCCTGGCGCCGCACGCACACTGCCCCACCTCGAGCGCTGCACCCGCTCACACCCCTCCTCTCAGCTGCTTTGGGCCGTGGTGGCACATGCACAATCTCTGCCCACGCACTGGGGCCAGACAACCCCCAATAGTCTCCAGGTCAAGTCCTCATCAGCGTTCACACTGAGGTATCTCAGAGTCTGTCCCCACAGGCACTAGGGGGGCCAGGGGAGCTGCTAAGTGCCCAGAAGCCCCGCTGCTCCTCTGATCCATGCAATGTCTGGAGCCCCCGTAGGGCTGAGGCGAGGGGCAAGTTCTGTGACCTTGCAGCATAAACTGTCAGGAGAGAGCACACATCTTCATGCAGCTGATGGACACAGGCACACAGTGAGGGCTCCGGGAGGGAAGCAGCGGCTGTTCACAGGGCCCCAGCACATGCAACACAGGCAGCACAGAACACGGCAGGGGGAGAAAAGAGACTTTTACTTGTTTTCCCCCAGCAGTCCCGGAATAAGCAAACCATGGCCACCAGCCCTTTGTGCTCAGAGGCTCAAGGCAGCAAGGGGCTGAGTGGGGCGCATGGGCCAGGGCTCAGGGACCAGGTTCAGGTGTGGCGCTGCCAGGATGGCCACATCTCACTCCACGGGCTGTGCGGCCAGGAGCCTACAGCTAGACTCTGGCAGTCAGTGGGTGGGGCGTCTCCTGCACCAGGATGCTGTGGGAAGAGCTGCCTCCCCAGGCTGGGCTGGTGTTCAGGGGCTGGGCGTTCATTTTCCTCTTCTGATAGTGGCTGTTCCTGTGACTTGCCTGCCTGCTCCAGTGGAAAGCAGGAAGGCAAATTCAGTTCTTCGCTAAAGAAGACGAAACTCGACCAGATAAAAGAGAGAGAAAATGGAATTGGTCCTCTGTCAGCTGAGCAGTGGCGGCTTAAGTCTATTCACGTTCTGCGCTGTCCTCTCTTTGGCTGAGTGATAAAGACAGTGACTGTCTTCCCAGGGTCTCCGGATCTCAACGTTCTCCTCTAAGGATGAGCAGTGGGGGAAGGACATCTATCTGCTCTGCTCCTCAGCTGGGGCAGGGATTGTGGTGGCACAGGGAGGACAGAAGTTCAGCCCCTCCTGGCAGACCTTGGATGCTCTGCGCTGAATGCCTTAACCCCCACCTATGCAGGTTCTCATGGGTGAGAACAGATAAAAGAAAAAAAGAGAAAGGGAGGAAAAAGAGGTACAAAGAAGGAAAAAGAAGAACCAACTATAAAAACATCACCTCCAAAGAACTCTTGACATGATGAAAGTCATTCTGTTGTTCCCAGGCACTTTCTGTCCCTCAGGGCAGGACGATGCCAACTTGCTTGGTTAGCTAAGAGACCCTGGCGACCAACTGTGCCACCTCCACCCCCCCTCCTCTGTCCTCTGCAGAACAGATGGTGGTCAGGGACCGGATGGCCTCCGGGTGCACACTGCAGCAGTACTCCAAGATGCTGAGACTAGGGGTACTTGTGCTCTCCAGCCCTTGGATGCGGAAGTCTGCTCCAGGAACCTAAGCAGCAGGCTCTTGTATGCCCATGAAGTCAAGTGTCCCCTGCTGCTGATTCATTCCTGCTTGTAATCCCCCAGCCAGGCAGCTGTGGTCCTGCCTGCTGCCGGTGGATGTATGCGCTTACAGAACCGCAGCAGAATGCTTTGTCTAAAGGCTCCTGGGCTCCACGCTGCCTGCTGCCGGCTCCACCGTCCTTGCTCACTCTCATAACGTCTGGCCCTCCCCTTTCTCCCCTCCCCACCCTTCCCCCTTCCATGCTCAGAAAAATACATCATGGATCGGACATTGGAGCAGAAGCTGCTGCTGCTGCTGCTGCTGAGGGAGGAGACAGCAGCATGAGCATCAGAGCAAAATGATGGATTTCCCAATATCTGATGTTGGCTGATACAAATGCATATGAAAGACAGAGATGGTGAAACCTTACCTCCAGCTCAAGGAGCTGGAAACAGCTTATCAAGAAAAATAGAGAAGTGACGGTCCTATAGCCTTGACTGACAGTTTCTAGGACAGCCAGGAGAGGGAACAGAGGAATGACACAGTCCACAGATAAGTGACCCCCCCCCACTTGTCACTTCAGGAGTGACTATACTTCTCATAAAACCAGGTAACCAAACAAGGCCATCACATCTGACGTTCCTCAGGTAAGCATACCAAACAATTTGGGGATAGACTTCTCTTTAGGCCTGTTTAGAGCTCAGGGGAGAAGCACTATACCCAGAGCAGGACACTAACAATCTGCAGAAGAGCTTGGAAGGGGAAAGGCAAGGACAAGGGGAGACCAGGACCACATTCCAAGTACAGCTGTGGAGGGATAAAAAAGGTAGTGCACGTATGAGACAAAAATCCAGAGACCACACATCACCCTCTAAATATGCCAGGAGATCCTAACAAGCTGTAGATGGCACTGGCAAGGAAAGGGCTCTGTGTATAAGGAGGTCAGGCCCCTGAGGGTCCCTGCATTTAACACCTATTCAACACCTGGAACAGGCTGCCTTTGACAAAAGAAAGCCAAGCAAGTTCTCTCCTGCTTGACGGAACAGGCCTTTGTTGAAAGAAGCCGGAGTGGCCTGGGCCAGGGGGAAGGCTTGCCACTGGGGACTCCTGAGAGTGGGAGCTGGCAGAGGGGTGAGTTAGTTGTAAAATACGTCTACTGGCGATTTGGGTAACTAACTCCAGTGCTGGTAGCCCAGGGGCCCATGGCCCCTAATCAGAACTGAGACTCCAGGACCGGCCCGGTGGCGCACTGCTGCAGTGCACCGCCTGTCTCCCGCCGAGGGTTCGGATCCCACACACAGACCGGCCGCTCACTAGCTGAGCGAGGTGCGGGCGCGACACCGAGGATTGCGATCCCGTTGCCGGTCCTGGTCCAGTACGGGCGCGACACTGAGGGTTGCAATCCGTTGCCGGTCACGAAAAAAGACAAAAAGGAAAAAAAAAAAAAAAAAGAACTGAGACTCCAATGCTGTGGTCTTGCCCCCCTCCAGGTGAGAACGCTCTGCAACAGACATGCTGAGCAATCTCCCACTTGGTTCAGGACTGCCTGCTGTAGAGCCTGCTCCTCCACCCAGGCTGCCATCCCACAGTCCAGGTCTCTTTTCCCTGATCCTGAAACTTCAGGACAATCTGGACCAATCAAAATAAACAATTAATTTCAAAATAAAAAATTCTGTTTTGGTCTGAGCTGAAGGATGATGCCTCCTGAGGTCCCGGGGAAAGCCCCCTGCTGACTCAGCACACAGAGTTCATGCACAGGCCTAAGCCCACCTTCCCCATGCTTCGTGGCTGGCAGTGGTGCAGACACAGCAGGCTGGGGTTCTGCAGCACAGGTGGCCACCCACATGTGCCCACTCTTTACTTTCCCAAGCTGGCTATGGAAGATAGGTTAACAAAATGAACACTAAAACAAGGCTGCTGTGTGTTGGGATCCAGAAACTCAGGAGTATAGCCACTCACATGGGTTCATGGGGGACAAGACCTGGTATGAGGGACCAAACAGCAAGGAAAGAGCTTAAGTTAACACCTCCAAGGAGAAGGCTCTTCCTGAGGAGCTGCTGCATCTCGATTTATTCCATCCAAGAGGCAATGGCCTGCTTCTAACTCAAAGCTCTCTAGCACATGTAAGTGATTTTGGCTCCTGCTCCCAGGACATAGAAGGGTATAGGAGAGCAGAAAGTGGCTTCAAGTAACTGACTGCTATTGATCCCATCCCTGACTGTCCCCAAAGCACAGCTTTGAAAATGACAACAGTGTTTGTCTCAGTCCCAAACATCTATTACCAACAAACACTCAACCCTTGGAAAAGCCTGCAAACTACAACAGAATGTGAGATCACTTGACTGAGTGTAAGCAATTGCCTGGAAACAGATCCACAAACTCCTAGCCAGAAGAGCCACCTCCACAACTCCAGCATAATCCAAGACTGACAAAGATGGACCAAACCCAGCTCAGCCCTCTCTGCTAGACCCCAGGGAAGCAAAGCTACTGGAAGGAGAGTGGCTTTAGGAGGGAGATAAGCCAGGGGAACAGATGCCCCTATTTTCTAGGTTTCTCAATATGAATAAGTAATGATTTCGTGGACAAAAATGAGCGTAGCTGCTATTTACTGAGTATTTGTCTTATTACTTATTCGCAACAAACCAATGAGGTCAGTACTATTATCCAAACATACATGGGGAGCTAGGGGCTCAGAGACAGTAAGTGACTTACCACGACATGTATGTATCTAGAACCAGGATGGGACAGCAGGGCTGTGACGCTCCAGAGTCCAGGCCCTCCTCACCAAGCCCCTGGCCTCAGCAGCTTCTTTCCCTCTGATGTGCACACTTGACCCCACCCACCAAACTTCCTGCCAGAACCACTGCAGCCCATGGAGGAAACAGAGGTGCCACTTGAGACTGGCAGGTCAATCCTGAATGGAGCCTGAGTGAGCAAGGAACTCCACCCCTTCAGTGTAGACAAGCATTTTCATTAAAAAAAAAAAAAAAAAAAAAAGCCAGATTCCCTGCTGGCTGCTTTTAGCCCAGGTGCCCTGGTGTCAGAGCTTGGGGGAAGGGGTGTGAGAGCTGCTCTGAGAGGCACCTTTAAGAACATCTCACCTGAGAAAGTAACTAATCCTATTATTAAGGAAAACAGCTCAGATGGCCTCCCTGTTCCCTGTTTCAAACAAAAGAAATAGAGGCAGACCTCATGCCTAGTGCTTAGAATTGAAAAGAATAACCAAAGTAGCAGTGATATAGAGTAAAAATGGTAAGTGACCAAATAAACAAAAACAGAAACAGACACAAGGAGGAAACAAAGTCGGTCCCTCCAGGTGATTCTTTTTTTTTTTTTTTTCCCCTTTTTTTGTCTTTTTTACTGACCGGCAACGGGATCGCAACCCTCCGTGTTGCGCCCGCACCGCGCTCAGCCAGTGAGTGGGAACCGGTCTCCACATGGGATCTGAACCCTCGGCAGGAGCGCCGCCGCGCTCCCAAGCGGCGCACTCTCCAGTGCGCCACCAGGCCGGCCCTCTCCAGGTGATTCTGATGCATGCCAAAAGTCTGGGATCATGGGTCTAATCTAGCGCAGTGCTGCTGTCATGAATCAGGCCAATGAGAGCCGTGTTCTCATGAAGAGTTAGTGACAGAGGCATCTCAGAAGCCAACACTGAGGTGCACCCCAGTTTAAGTCAATCAGAGAAAGCCTACATTTACAAAAATAATGAATAAGTGACAATTGTTCATAAAAAATTTTTTCCTAATAGGCAGCCTAAAATTCAATTTGTACACTTTCCCCTCCAATATGTAAATGGAGTCATGGCTCTAAAAATAACAGCCAGGGGCCGGCCCGGTGGCGCACTGGATAAGTGCGCCACTTGGGAAGCGTGGTGGCGCTCCCGCCCGAGGGTTCGGATCCCACATACAGACCGGTTCCCGCTCACTGGCTGAGCGAGGCGCGGGAGCAACACCGAGGGTTGCAATCCCGTTGCCGGTCCCCGGTCCGGTACGGGGGCAACACTGAGGGTTGCGATCCGTTGCCGGACACGGAAAAAGACAAAAAGACAAAAAAATAAATAAATAAAATAAAAATAAAAATAAAAATAACAGCCAGATTCACTGTCTAGGTACAGGATATTCTGAACCATAAGAGCATGACATGGTCTGAGGCTGACCTCTCTCACCCGCTAAACGTCTGTCTTCTGTGTCAGAGGAGACACCTGAGTCAGAAAGGAGGCAGTGGTTTGTGTTTCACAGGAAAATAGCTGCTTGGTACAGTACCTGAGATCTTCTTCTGTTCCTGAGAAAAGTCAATCCCTTCTCCGATAGAACTCATGATTTTCTCAATCTGAAACGGAAGAAAGGAACAAACAGGAGAGGCAGTCAGGCTTGGGTTAAACGTGGCCAGCTCACCATCAGTGCCCCTAGGAGCTGATCTCCAGATCTCTTCCAGATGATTCCCAGGTCCAGCACCAACCTGCAAGGTATCTGAGCTCCCTGCTGCTCAGATCTAAAAAATAAAAAAGCCCTTCTCCGGCCCTAGCCCAGACAGTCTGAAGAACTGCTCTGAAGGGACGGAGATGGTGACATTCTGGGCTCAGCTGCTAGAAATGCCAAAGGGCCTCCCTTTCAAGGCATTTATATATCACTCCCCCAACTGTTGTCCCAGACCCAGCAGAGCTTGGGTAGAAGGTGCAACAGCAGGCTAGCCCTGGCCCATTTCACTGCTCTTGCTAGAATTTAAATTCCATGAGAGTATAGACTTTGTCAGCTTCAATCCATGCTATACCCCAAGTGCCTAGAGTAATGCCTGGCAAATCGTAAGCATCAACAGATAATTGATACTGTATGACTGCCAGCTCTGAAGTGTGAGGACAATTTTGAGAGTTGAGACAAGCAGACTCCCTGCACATAGGAACCTCTTGGAAGCCGAGGTGAGGCAGGCACATAACCGTAGAAGACCTTTTGCTCCCTGGAGGCCAGCAGTCCTGGATGGAGCTCTGTATTCAGGGGAAGAGAAGGAGCACAGGCACTTGCCCTTTCTCTGGACCACAGAAGAGAAAGCTAGTCTTCAGGCACCGCAACGTCTCTGGCACTGCCTCCTATATGGACCACCAATTCCAGCCATCTGGCTTTGGGTGTTCTAGGCCAGATCCAACCCCCACCCCCGCCCCAACCAGGAAACCTGGCCAGGGGCAGGACCAGGCAGTGAGGAGGAGCCACCTTCTCTTCTTCCCCTCCTCCTCCTTTTTGGGTTGCAGTGATAATGAGCTCATTCACTGCTCTTTTTCCAAAGAAATGAAAAGAGGACCTTTTGTACCAGAGCTTGGATGCTTTTTCCTCTAAGTGCAAGTAAGGAGCCTGGGCCTGACAATCAGAAAAACAACTCTCCAGCCAGCCTCCAGCTGGCAGACAAAGATGCACATCTGACACCCAGCAAAAGAGCATAGAGCAAGTACCACCTCTCCCCCTGCAGCCAGAAGCTTGGGGAGGTATTTTTCTCCAGCCACAGAAATGACTGCCAACTCCATCCCGAATCTCAGCAAAAGTAGAGGGAAACATAACATATCTGACCCGTGGAGCAAACTGAGGATGTGTCTCTACTTATTGGCCCCAGCAGGCCAGAGGCAGGCACAGAAACAGCGGGGAGGCAGACAGCACCAGAGCAGGTCTGCACTGCCCCTTGAAGAAAATGCCACACCCCATGGGGCCCGCCCATCTCAAGTGCTGACTCCTTCAGCATGGTACAACAAGGGAAACACCCAGACAGGCAGACAAGTACCTTCACCCTCCCAAAGGCTCGGTTTTAAATACATGAAAACAGGACAGATACAATAAAGCATCTAGCCGAAGATCTAGTTAACAGTAGATGCTCAATAAAAGATTTGTTTGCTTTCCACTCCCCCTCTGTTGTCCTCTGAGTGCTCTAGCCTAATAAAACCTATTTTTAAAGTTTTAAAAAATATTTTTACTTACACTTCTTTTTTGAAAAATAATACGTCCATATGATTCAAAATTACAAAAAAGATACAAAATGTTATTCAGAGAAAAGTCTCCCTTCCACCCGTCTCCCGGTCACCTAGTTCTTCTCTCTGGAGGCGACCAATGAAGTCTAGATCTATTCTATTCACTTGTAGGTAAACATAGCAGCATATTCCACCCCCATACAAATAGGCGCATTCCATATATGCTATCTGCATCTTGCTTTTTCCATTTAATAATATATCTTGGAGTTCCTTCCATAGTTCACAAGGAACAATTTTGTTTTAAATGGATGAACTGTAATAATCTGGTGTGTGGCTATATGCTAATTTAACCAGTCCTCTGACAGATATATGGGTAGTTTCCAATCTTTTCTCATTCTAGACAGTGCTATGATGAATACTGTTCTACATGCGTCTTTGCACACATGTGAAAGCATATATACAGGATAATTCCTAGGTACTTGAGAGTCTGTCCAGCACAGAATCTTAAGAATTAGCAGCAAATCATATAATCCCAACTCCTACCCCATGTCCAATTTTGCTTAAAGACCTTCCAGAAATGGGGTGCTTGCTAACTCATCCAGTCAGTTCACCCCATTTCCAGAAAGTACCTATTCATAACATTTGTTTTTTTTCACATTTAAATCCTTTTTTCTAACTTTGTCATAGTGGTCCCCGTTATTTCCCTAGAGCAATTCCTCTTCCACAGGAAAGGCTTAGAGGTATCTGAAGACAGCTTTTCTCTTCTAGGCCAAGCTGCATGGCATGACACATCAGTGCCAGTTCCAGAAGCCTGGCTTACCCAATCACATTACAGAAGCCTTGATGCTAGGAGAAGAGCAGGTAACTCGATATCTGCTGATTTGCCTTCTTTTTCCTTTTCTACAACATTTATAGGAAAAAAGTAGGATGTTCAAGGTGAGGAAACTTGTTCCCACACAGTGCGGGGGGATAGGTCTTTATTTCTAAAATAGCTCCACCAGCCTCTGGGTCCGGGTCCCTCCTCCAGGCCAAAGTGGGTGTACGTGGGAGAACCACCACTGCCAACACACTGAGGGCTGGAATCAAGCATATTTTATTTGCCATTTCACCCCCTGGGCCTGGCTCATGGTAAATAGGCAACTTATAGAATGAATGAATGTATAGTTTCCACTTACTTAGAGCCAGCAATGAAAAAGCTGTTTTCCCAAGGCCATGCAGAGTTGCAAAGGGTGGAAAGAGGTGAAATGGGGGGTGGGGGTGGGGTGTGTGTGACTCCAAGGTATCCTTTGAAATAAAGTCATTTACATTACATATTTCATTATGATCATAACCACTTAACACCCAAAGCCCTGGCTGGCCTGTCCAATCAACATCCTTTGGCTGCACAGTTTATGAGATTTTGCCAAAGGGCTTTTTGAAACCAGAGTGAACAGAGTTGAACAGCCCTGCTGCTTCTCTGCTCTGCTCCTTCCTGCTTGCCCCAGGATTCACCCTCACATCAACTTCAAGGGGCCAGCAGAAGCCCAGGTTTCCATGGCCTATTCCCTGGGTGGGTATGTGAGGTACTCCAGACTGCAGCCCAGCTGGGAAAGGCTAATGGACACTCTCAGAATGATTTCACCCAAACTAGGAAGTGTTTTATTGTTCTGTGAACTGCCATAGCTGAGTCAAGCTGAGAAGATTCCAGTTTACAGAGGAACTCAGTGTATACTTGGTAGCTTATTGACAGTTTGTTACTGAGGACCCCTTCCTTAGCAAGTAGAACTTGCCTTGGTAGACACTCAGGGCTAGGAGGGATGTGGCAGTGAAGAGGACCTGTATGGGCAGAAATTGGAAGGTCCCCACTCTAGCACCACAGCAAGGCATCTGGGGCTGTGATCCTGCCCAACCCCTCAACCTGGGCGTGGAGAAAGGGAGGAGCTGGACCTCATCTTCTCTTCTTGTCTCACCTCTCATGGCCCAGAATCAGCGAAGGGAATATGATCATTTCAGTCTAGACAAAGAAGAACATTCAAAGACAGGAGATACCATTCTGATCTACACACTTCATATAGTTTAACCATTTAGGCTTGAGTTAAAAAACAATCTGATTAGGCTGCTTTCCCAGAAACACTGTGCATCTCAGGGGAAGGAAGAGGCAGGTGGAATGTAATAGAAGGGCACAGATTGGTGTTCTCTCCTTTTTCTGTTGTTAGGGTAAGTGATGTTTTTGGAGAGAGATGGGAAATGACAATGCTTTAATACTACACTTTGCATGAACTTTGATAGAGAACTTATATTTGTGTTTCTTAAGGTAAGGCCCTAAAAGCTATCACCATAATGGACTTTTGTACTCAAAAAATGCTTGGAAATGTTCCATTTCCAGAAGGAATTCAGGATGATTCTATTTAGACTTTTACCAGGACTGTTTGAAATGTATTCCCCATATGGCTGAAAACAAAAACAAACACTAGATATACTGTTGTGCAGGCCGTCTGACATCTGCTTGCTTAGACCACAGGATCCTGGTTGCCTGCGGGCTGGCAACGGGAGGTGGGATTCTGTGTATGGAGAGGCCTCCATCCCCTATCCCCAGGCTGTTGAGCCACACAGATGACACCAGTCTTTTCAGTGTTTACCGGGAGGGGGGGAGGGTGAAGAAAAGCTTTGCCAAGTTTTGATGGGTCTTTCCCTATGTCGGGAAGTGTGCTGGGCACAGGCAGTCTGCAGAAGGACCACAAGCTTCAGTGCAACTTGGCTCCAAGGCCTGTGGGAAACCTCCCTTCCAGGAGGCGGTACAAGTTAGAAGCAATGACTATGTTCAGGGGCTCCCATTCGGGACCAAGTATCCGGACAGCAGGATTCAGTCTGTTCAACATGCCTAGAAGCTGGGAGGGGGGGGGGGGCTGTAGAGGAGGAAGGAAAGGAAATTGCCTTCTTCCTACTTTCCTTTGGTGTGAATGGGAACATGAAGGGTGATGTTTCTGTAATTTACCAGCAACTGAGCTGGCTCCTCATGGCAGACATTTCCCCCAATCCCCTTTCTGCTGCCTGGGGAGCAGTCGATGCCCTAGGACTCCCCACCAATTGGAAAACACATACCGGGGGGGGGGGGGGGGGGGGGGGGGGGGGTTGGGGGGGGGGGGGGGGGGGGGGGCTGTAGAGGAGGAAGGAAAGGAAATTGCCTTCTTCCTACTTTCCTTTGGTGTGAATGGGAACATGAAGGGTGATGTTTCTGTAATTTACCAGCAACTGAGCTGGCTCCTCATGGCAGACATTTCCCCCAATCCCCTTTCTGCTGCCTGGGGAGCAGTCGATGCCCTAGGACTCCCCACCAATTGGAAAACACATACCAGTCTCCTTGGGCCTGTCCCACAGGGCTGGAGACACCTTCTACCTCTCC